CCTGTACCTCCTGTTCTCTAATGATTCACAGATACCAAGTCCAGACACCAGAAGAGAGTGATATGATCACTCAAAAAAACCAGCCCAGCGATTCCTCCATTGAGGCTGTAAATCGTTGGAGCTGTAGCAGCCATTTCCCAAAAACACAGCCTGGAACCTTTGGCATAGTGGAGGCAAAGCTGTGGTATGCTCTGGGGAGGCACCCGGTGCCCATCACCCTGCCCCAGGTCTCAGGAGTACATGGCAGCCATCGAGTCCTCGCCAGCTGCTGCCTTCCAAACTCCTTGTGCTTCTCTGCAGCATTTTCTTTCTTACTTCGCTGAGATGTCCTTTTTCCCAGCAAATTTGTTCTCATACGTGCCCTTTCCTTCTACCCCAGCCCAGCCCCACAGCACCCAGCTGTGGTGTTGCCTCTGTACAGGATCCAGACACACGGAAAACTCCGTGTTGAAACAACGGCCTCTTCTCTTGGGCATGGGACCCCGCCGTCCTTTCTCCATCATCTTGCCAGTCAAGTTTGTCTCATTATTGGCATTAATCCCTTCTTTACCTGCTCATGCCTCTCCTGCAATGTTGCTTGTTTCTCAAGACTACACCATTTCTTCCATTGAAGCATCCAACTGTGGGGCTGCTGCGGTCATCCCTTCTGCGGTTCTGTTGGCTGTGACTCAAGTTTCCTCCTCTCTTTACTCTTGCTCCTCTCTAACTTCCTTCTCCACTCGGATTGTTGTTGCTTTCCCTTCCCTTGTACTCCTCCATTCGGTTCTCCTTGGCTTAGGAAAGCTCCAGTTGGTAAAGAGCCCAGTTTTCCATCTCTCTGCCTCCATCTTCACCTCTGAGCCCTAATGAATGATTTTTTTTTTTTCCCCCTTCCTTTTCCTAATGCTCTTTTCTTCAGTTCGGTTGTATGGGACTCATCAGATCCAATTAGTGTTTCAACTCAGCAGTCTGGTGAGTTCAGGGCTGAAGGATAAGCTGCTTTGGAGCCAGTCCCACCCTTCCAAGTTGACTTTCTAGGTCACTTGGAGTAGCCCGCTCCAACTGCAGTGGTCAGGGTTGCCCCAACGCTACTGAAACCTGGGGAAGCTGAATCCCTTAAATCAGTGGGGATCTCACTGACACAGTTAATGAAGTCTAGACAGCTGCTCAGCGATGTTGCGGTCGTGTCATCTGCCAAGCGATGTCCACCTTACTCGCTGCTCTCCTAGTATTCCTTTATTTTATAAAAAAAAGTTCACTGTCAAAACTAAGTGAAATAGCTTCTTGGGCTGCTGTTGTATTTACTGCTCTAGAACTGGTTTCAGAGGGGTAGGATTAGACCTTCATCAAATGGCTTGGTCGTTGCCAACTTCAGGCATTCAAAAGCCATTTCTTGGGCTTCAAAAATCTTAATAGTCATCAAGGAAAAAAAGAAGTTATATTTTCAAAATAAAGCAGGGATGTTTTCAGAAATTCCTGTGTTTTTAAAATTCATGTCTTGGTGGACATGAGGTTAGAATTTTTAAGACAAGAAGGCAAAGAAAAGGAAATAGAAATCTTGATTTATTGTCACAGTCACTTGATGCTAGAAACTGGGGCTGTAGTAAAAGCACCCGCTGCAGCAGCGTCTGATGGTTCGGCTTCAACTACGGCAACATCGCAAACTTCCTCCTTCTGCTGAGATAACGTGGTGGGTGCTGAAAACAAAACCGGTAGCAAAATAAATAGCAGGAATTCTCGGCACTTGAGGAAGAGGGAGGGAGGAAGGGCAGAGTGCTGCCGGAGGCATAGTAGAGCCCTGAGGGAGGTTGCTTTCCCGTTGACAGCGCTCGGCCCCAGTTTCGTGTTGCAGGACGTTAGCAGTCGCGGTGTAATGTATCTCTTGTGTCCGGCTTGTGGGGATGCTCCGTTGACCAGATCAAGGAAGTGGTTTGGAGAAAGAAACTTCGAAAAATAGGCAATCTGAAAAATCTGGGTTTGTCCCCTAATCTGGGTCATAGTGCAGGAATAGCCCCAACCAGTACTGCACTGAAACCAGCACGCCAGAGCTCCCAGCTGCAAGGAGGAGCACTTGTCTTACCTGAGTTGGGACATCACCAGCGTGGATATCTTCATCTGAGCCACGTCCCTGGACTCCTTTGATAGTCAGCAGGGATGAAAGGGCACCGCTGGGGACATTTCATGTGAGCACCCGTAAATGTCTGTCTTGGGAGGAGAATAAAAACTCTTAAAAAGGCTCGTTTTTCTGCGCTGGGCTGCAAAAGGAGCCTGTAGGATGAGAGGAAGCAGCTTCAAGTTGTGCCAGGGGAGGTTTAGATTGGACATTAGGAAGAATTTCTTCACCAAAAGTGTTGTCCAGCATTGGAACAGGCTGCCCAGGGCAGTGGTGGAGTCACCATCCGTGGAGGTGTTCAAAAGACGTGTAGATGTGGGGCTGAGGGACGTGGTTTAGCGGTGGGCTTGGCAGTGCTGGGTTAATGGTTGGAGTCGATGATCTTAAAGCTTTTCCAACCTGAAGGATGCTGTGATTCTACCACGTTGGGTGTGATGCGTCCCACCTGACTCTCTGTTGCGTGTTCGTACAGCGCCAGCATTGTAGATCCCAGATCTGTGACTCAGGCCGTAGGCAGGGTGAGGATAATAATAACAACGCTCCTGCCGTTGTTTTCTTAGGGATGAATTTGCCTCGACAGGCAGTGTTCCTTGGCCAGCCCCTAGGAATTAAACTCATTAAGCTCTCCTTGCTGTTGGCCCTTTTGCTTACGGCGGGCTGAGGTTGAGGAGTATCTGGCTCGTTGTTGGATGCTCTCCTTGAC